GACCAGACCATCCAGCACCAAGGCGACCATTCTTTAAAGCATTGAGAACCCCTAACAGTAAGCTGTTTGGGGAAAAAAGCATCATGGATTAGGTTCGAAACTGTCATGCACCGACAGGACTGGATGACAGCCATTGAGATCCCACCTGACGAGCAGTTGCTCGCCCAGCTGGGCAACTGTGTCCCGGAGCAAGGCACTTGGCCAAGCAGCATGGAGAAACAGCTGAGGAAATGCTCTATACGATGTGAAATGTGAATTGCAAGCCAACAAATGGATGCCATGGAGTTGCGACGTCAGCTGGACGAGGTGATTCAGCAGCTATCTCAAGCCGACTTGGAACATCGAAGATTGCAGGCAGTTGCAAAGGAGAAGGAAAAGGAAAAGGAGAAAGAGAAGAGCTCCAAGAATGTCAGCTTCTCTGAAGAGTTCAGAGCAGCGCCAACGAAGAGGACATCGCAGCTGAGAAGAAGGCTCGGCAACCCAAGGCAGAGGAGTCAACGACTGCTAAGAGCAAGCCACCACTTCTCCCAAGCAAACCCAAGGCAGGTCGGAATGTTCCAATTATCCCAGCTTCCAGCGTCCGAGGTTCAGTCGCCAAGAGCGTGCCGAGGCTGTCGAGGTGGAAGGATTCCTTCTTGAGGTGGTTGGGAGCTCGATCAGCCGTGCAACTGTCCCAAAGTCCAAGGCCGCGAAGAAGATCCATCGTGAAGTCAAGAAGAAGAAGCGAGCCACGGCGGAGAAGAGGTCTTCATCTGGGAAGCGAACTACACCAGTGAAGAAGATGCCCAGGAAGCCTGTCAAGACAGAAGAGACTGCGGCAGTTGAAGCGCCAGACCCGCAGTCCACATGGAAGAAGCGCCGTGGGACAAAGGCGAAGGCACGTCCATCGAAGAGGCAGCGAACTGAAGAGAAAGGAGAAGATCCTTTGCCAGTCCGACCAGCGGTGACGCTTTTGCCGCGTCTTCACCAGACGTATGAAGCTCCTACAGAGGACGAAGTCAAACCGTCCGATTCGGTGAGCCAGATCGGAGAAGGTTCCTACGTCGCCGAGGGGTTCAATCGTGAAGAGCGAGATCAAGAGCGAGGTCCATGAGGCAAAGACGATGGGGCCACCGCCGAAGCCACCGCAGCCGGTACGCCGATCGGTGCCAGGGAGGGACAGATTGTTGCGCCCGCATCAATCGCTCTGTTCCCTCCTCCTCCTCCACCAGCTTCAGCTCCGGAGACCCCAGCGGATCCAAAGGCATCAACTGGACGAGCAGAAGCCAAAGCAACTACGATCCAGCCGGTGTTGCCAGCTATACAACACCTGCGATGCCATCTGTGCCAATGGCAGCCAGCCATGGGCAGCAAACGTGTTTGGCGTGCTTGGGGTGGGAATGGTGACACCAACAACGAACGACCGTTATCTGGTGTTCCTATCGAGCCTGCGCAACCGTCCAGGCACGTGTCAATCTACGCAGCCTTCAACGTCTTCAGCAGCAGTTTCATACACACATGGTCGAAACATGGTCTTTGTCGAATTGTGTTGTGGTCGAAACTTATGTCTGAGGCAGGCTTGTATGGAGGTTGGAGTCTCATATATAGGATGTCACGATTGTCTTCAGGGAAAGGCAGTTCAGAGAGAGATCATTAAACTTATCTCATCTGTTTGTCAGGGGCGCAAGATGCCAGAAGCCCGCCATCGATCTGAGCGCGGAACCAAGATTCATGTTCATGTTTCTCTACCGTGTACTGGAGGAAGTCCGATTTTGAACTTTCATCAACAGTCTAGAGTAGAAGTCTTTGAGGAAATAGCTAACTCAGTCGATTGTCTTTTGAAGAAGGTGGATGAGGCCTTAGGTCAGGTATCCAAGAGTCTGGAACTTCAGTACTGGAAGTCAGAGGTCTTGAGGAAGGTCTTGTCGAACCAGCGTCTAGAGTTTGAAGGCATCGTGAACAGATGTTTACCAAGAGTCAACAACCAGTCGGAGAGAGGTTCAGGTTTATGTCGAACCGGAAAGAAGTTGCAAATAGGTTAGCGGAAAGATTCAAGTGCATTGTCGAGCACGCAGCTTGCAACAATGTCAATTGGACAGAGACAGAACGATACACCCGTGTATTCGCTCGATGCTTCGTTCGGTTGCTGAGGAGTCAGGCCGTGTGCAATGCATGAGCGGAGGTTGCCGGATGAGAGCATAGCGCCACGAAGGGGGTGTCTTCTCTCCTTTTGCAGCACCGCTTCTTCGATCAAGTCGAGAGGACGTCGCGAAAAGAGAGAGTGTCTTTTGTCTTAGTCTTCGAAGTTTTCTTCTGAGAAGAGCGTTGAATGTCGAAGGTCAGAGGAATAAGATAGATTTTGATGAGTCTGAGGTTTTCGAGGTCGGTCGAATGTCTCTTGAAGAGAAGATCGGAATCGGAGATCGGAAGGTCTTATTGGCAAAGCCATGGAGGTCTAGAGATTCAGGAAGAATGCAATTTCTATTCTATTCTGTTTTGTGTGTGGTTCAAGCTCCCTGTGCTTGCTGTGCTAGCTGACTGCTTGTATCCGCAGCTATTTGGGCGCGCGTTCGCGTTTCGTCGCCGTTCATGGAAGCAGCCGTGATTTCTGCTTATGTGGCTGGGCGAGAGTTTGAGATTCTATGTATTCTCATTTTCGCGCGTGGCATGTTCGTTGGAGGAATACTGACGAAGCTTTGTTGTCGCTCAGTGCAGGTGATTGTTGATTCGAGCGTTGAGGTGGACGATCTGGTGCCACCAGTGTTCGCAGACTGGCTTGATATGCACGATTCATACTACCGAACTGAGAAAGGAACAGTGTTGCATCTTACACCTTTCTGCAGCTATGCCAAAGGCCGTGCTTTGTCGCGCCTTCATTTCTGCAAGAAGTGTTTGAAGACGAGGCATGAGAAGAGCCCCAAGCCGCAGAATGATGTTGACACTTGACCTCGAAAGGGGGTGTGAAAGTGTATAGCCGAGCTACACTTGTAGCGAGGTCAGTTTACAACCAAAGGTTTGCAGGACAACTGTTTTGAGAACAGTAGAGTTCATGTCTGAGTGCCTTGTAAAGCTTTAGCTGTGAGGGCTTTGCATTTGGAATGCTTGAGCAAGCGTTCGGTACCAGAACTTTGTATTTGGAAGTGTTTTGAGCAAGAGCTTTTGGTAGATTTTGTAGTTTGAGAGTTTTGTCAGCGTGTTTGAATGCTTTAAGCTCGATACCTCCGGTATCTCGCATGGAAATCGCTTGTTACAGGAATGTCCCCTCATAGCTGCTTTCGAACTTTACTTTGGCTCAAGGCCCTGAGTGCGCGTAAAAGGTGCGAGAGTGCTTTCGCTGTGCTTGTGAGTTGTTGCGCGTGCTTTTGCTTTGTGTTTAGGACGTTTGTAATCTACTTACTTAAGGTAGTAGGTTTTTCAGGGAAACAGGTCCGTATGACTTGACAGCAGCCTAGACACACTGCAGACACAACTACAATGTCCTAGGCGAAGACCTTAGTCCTTGTCCTGGAAGAGAGTGAGATGCAAATGATGCTGCCTGGCAAAATATACTCCTGTAGGCTTAGCTGTTTATGGAGTATGTCTCTGCTGTGCTGCGGCACCTCCCTCTTGTTAGAGGGAGGGTATGTGCTGCAACTGTTCGTTAAACAAAGACTCGCCACTACCAGTCACCCTACCATGCATTAAACGCAGGCCACAGTGGAAGCTCCATTCACTTTCGCTTGTCACGTTAGAGTTTCGTGCTTCGCTTTTCGCGTCCAGTACAGATGTGCATAATGTTGGGTACTCGTGCACTCAACTAGCAGCTTGCCTATATGGTAGCCCACAACTGTTACATCACTACTTGTGAGCTTTGATTGATACCTAGAGCACTTCCAATAAGTGCGCGCGGCACAGGCCTGTCATCACAGGCCCTCTGCCCATCTCTTCGAGACTGCAAACTACCATGAAAAGCCGTTTGAAGCTCTTGCCTGATTTCGTTGCCCAACCGCAAAGAAGTGGTGACTTTGTTTCACCAACGTCTCACCTTGCATGTGCAAAGTTGAATCACCCTTCGTGATTTTTCGTGTGGTTTTTGTGTGGCGGTTTTGTTTGGTTTTTGTTCTGCTTGTGTTGTGTTGCTGCTTTTGTTTCCCCTTCCAGGAGATTCAATAAAACTTAGCAAAAGATGACCTGTGCATTCTGCACACATGGCGTCTCCATCGGTGTAAAAAACAGTAGACATGACTCCTGCAGGCGTCATGTCTTAATCTTTGCCGGTGGGTTGGTTGGCAACTGTTTGTGCTTTTCACTTCTCACTTCTCAATTCTGACTTGTTCACCTCTCAAAACGAACCGACTGTAGAGCTGGAATTGCAGCGCCAGCTGGCGCGCTCCCGGACATCCGGACGGTGCGAAGGTGAATCCGGCGGGCCCAAAGTCCAAACCTACATCCCTTTCAAAAACTGGTGCCCGCAGGTTGGCATCAGGGGCCAACTTGAAACCCTTCCCCCCTGTGACCTTCTTTAAGGGGCCATACTGGCCATACTTCAGCACCTTCGTGTAGGTTGCGCCACAGATGTGTTGAGATCGGTTGACATGGCCTAGCTATACACCTGATTTCGTTTGCTTCCTACGGACTTGCTAGGTGAAAAGATGCACAGAACCCTAAAGGTTCTCCTCATACCTTGAAGAGTGTCACTTTATTGGTGGCCTGTGCCTGCAAAGGTTTGTTTCGGGCAGCTTGTTGTATTATGAGACCCTTCATGGCCCGCTGTGTTCCTTTTCGCAAGATGAGTGTGGGGGACCTAGCGCGATGGTCTACGGGCTATGTGTTGGACAACATTTTGTTTCCAGTTGACACGCTGGTTTGGACACGTTGCGCTGGAAGAAGAATTGATGAGGAAACACGACAAAAAATTATGGAACCAAAGCCCCGCACACAACTCTTAAAGGGAATCCCAACAATTTACATAGACCTTGGTTTATGGGTACCTTGGGTGGACCTACTCATGTCGTCTCTGCAGCTGATTCCACTGGCGGCCGATGCCAAAGCCAAGGCGAGGTGGTTTTCATATCATTTGTTTGGGCGTCAACTTCCACATTTGGTTTTTTTTAGAGCCGGTCAGGATTTCTGCTCGACATTCCGTGATGTTGATGGTCCAATTCGTTCAGTGTTGGTTTGGGCCGGATGATTGTTGTTTGGACAAGGCGTTCTTATCCGGGTCGAAGTAGGAAATGGGACGTGACGATTTCCAGGTGCTCTTTTTGCACAGGAGTTGCGTGCCCTGGTAATTTGCACTAGCCAAAAATGCGATCCTTTCAAGCAATTTGAGACGCATCGGATCGCAAACCATGTATGGTCCACGGTGTTCTGTATTGAGCCCTGGAAATGGACCCTTTGTTTTCCCAGCCCTGGTTGCTTCGTGGTTGGCGAGGTTTAGTGCTCTTGGTGTGGTGGTTGGAAAAAGCTTCCATTTTGGGTTTGCCCCATTACTTGCAACAGTCGGTAAACAACTAGCGCAATTTTTTGAAGAAAGGCCTTTACAAACGATCATCATCTACTGTTACTGGCAATAGATGATAGACCCAACTTCCATCAATCAAGTGCTCAATCGCTCTAGTGCTTTGTTGCTCTAGATCTGTAGATGAGCCAGTATTGCGTGGGAGATGGTTGCAACCTCCTACGGCCGCATGCGGCCGGAATCGTGCGCAACATTCATTTTGAGCTTTTGGGGGCATCAATTGATAGACATTCATCCCTGGAATGGTTCAGCATAGTTCAGCCTGTTGCCATCCCTTTGACATTGTCTCTCCTGCGGTGGAGCCGAGCCTGGTGTGCGACAGCGTCAGGTCCCACATGCCAAGAGATTTGATGGTCACAACAAAGTTCGGATGGCCCAGGGACGCTCAAAACAGTTTCCGACTGCAGATTCCTCTATGTTGAGATGAAAAGATACGAAGTACAGAGGAAGTACACGGGATCCCTTCCCTGGTGTTGATGTTAACAGCAGGTTAGGTGGTTATCCTTTGCATCACATAGCGAACTGCTTGAGCAGAAAGAATGTTGGAAAAACGATCTATATAAGTCAACACTGCAAGCTGTGGAGAACGACCTGCTAACGCTTTTTCTTAGCTTGATCCCCACTACCTGCGCTCGGCTCCCTGTGATGCGGCTCCACCTTTGGCCGACCGCGCCAGGGGAGTTGGCAGGCTACATCAAAGATGGCCAGAACAGCTTGCCCGCGGAGAGGCTGTGCTCTTGCGACCCGAGAAGAAAGCAAAATTGAAGAACTGCCGTTGTCTGTTGCGGGGGATTCCAAAACGGTCGAAGACAGGCCGCGGCCAAGCACCGGATTAGGTTGAACCAGGTGTCGACTGTGATGAATGGAACTGAAGACAGATACCACAGAGAACTTGATGGAAATTGTATAAGACTTGTTGACTCGTTTAAGGTTTTCTGTGTGTGAAGGAAGGGCAGTTGGCTCTTGCTCCCAACTTGAGAAGCGCAGAAGGCCCCTCGGCGAGGTCCCTTAGCTGCCTATGACGGTCAAAGAGTGTGGGAGGTCCCTTTTTCGCAAACCTGTTCCGGCCGCGTTCGAGCAGGACGGGTTTTTCTCCGCTTGACATTGCTGACGGTATGTGCTATCAGTGCTGTTCTTAGCTGTGTTGGGATTCCTTGTCAATGCCAGAGAAGCAGATTAACTCTTCAGCAAGCAGAGAACCCCTCTTTGAACACATCGATTGCTCAGAAGAAATGGACACAAATGGCAACCATCAAGCCGATCCAACTGCTTTGGATCAAGGTTTCACTTTTCAGTCTAAAACCGTTTTTTCACTTCTCAGAGTCTTTTTCCTTTTTGTATTGGCAAAAGGCATGGGCATTTGTGCTCGGCAGGTGATCCTGGTGTGCTTTCTTCAAAATGTTGACGAGCAGTGATTTCCATTCTGCACATGCACATGGCAGTAGCTTCCTGTGTGTTTCTCCACTCTTTCTCTCCCCTCTTTTGCAGTGGCTTCCACAAGCTTATCATGCTTGAAACTCTGCAGGCTTGTGTGGCCTGCATCACAAAAGGCCAGGGCGGAGTGAGAGAAGAAGGGGAGGAAGCATTCTCCTAACCCCTTTGTGTACTAGCCTGTAATTGTCAGGCCAAGCAGTCCTGGAGAAAGGGGCTTCAGAGGATAAGTTGGATGAGTGGATTTCTTGGTTTGAATTTGGAGAAGCCCGCGGTTTCGCATTTGATCGGAGTTCGCACATGGAGCAGGACTCGCACATTGTGCAATCGGTTTAAGACTCTAGCATGTCCATTGGTTTTCAACCTACAGTCTTCAATCACTACGAACAACTGTAGTGATGCTGTATCAGGCACCATCACCAGCTACCTTGGCCACAGAGGACACAGCGAGGCAGCGAGGCAGCGCTGGGCTTTTGGTGCATCCAGATAGTTTTCTATAGAGGTAGACACATGTAAAGTATGAATACAGAATACAAGTACCTTGTAACAATGAGAGAATCTTCGGGGCCAATTCAGCAACAAATCTTCCCTGTGCAGAACGGCGGTTCTGCCCTGTGCTCAAAAGACAGGATATGGCGAGAGCCCCAAACAGTATGGTATATACAAAGATTCAAGATGACCTTTGCGTGCAAGGTTTGGACGTCAAATTGCAGATGCAGGTTTGACTTTGATTAGATTGTGCTTGACCTCCTTTGCGTTGCAAGTCTCCCTGGGTCCCTGAGATGCTCTAGAGCTGAGACAACTTGTTGCTTGGCAGTCCGTTTACTGGTCTTATCACAGACCGCGCTCATCACTAGACACCAGCAGAGACATCACCTGCATTTCACGAAAGGTAGCCCTTTAGGGGATACCTTGAGTTTGTCTTGCGCAGCAAGTGTCGGCTCGTCCGGGTCTAATAATTGATCGCTCAATTCAACACCCCCCCCTTGAACTGTAGAGCCTACTTGTACAGGTTCCACTCCAGTGGCCTATCTAGTGTGTCCATGCTTGACTGCCATAAGGCTCAAGAGGATAAGACTCTGCGCATAAAAGACACTAGCGGTCTGCACCTCAGCCGTGTATGCCCTAGTCACTCTTTCAGTGGTAGCGGAGCAGTGATCCTGGAAGACCCAGGTGAGCTCCTTTCCTAGGCATAGACTTGCTTTTAGGCAAACGGCCATGGATTGGATTGACGACTGGGAAGAGCCTGATGCGGATGTGGCTTATGAGCCAGCAGCCTATGTGAATAGGCATGTGAGAAGAGAACCAGCAGCAATAGCAATGACAACACAGGTCACTACAAAAGTGCCCCCATCTTATGATGGAAAGACTTCATGGTTTTCCTATGAGGATGCCATAGACGATTGGTGCGATATCACCGAGCTGGAGGATGAGAAGAGAGGTCCAGCATTAAGGAACAGATTAGAAGGAGAAGCAGCTGTATACAAACGTGTTCTAGACAGAGATGCATTGAAGGCGAATGATCCACCAGGAGCTGGAGTAGATTATTTCAAGCGAGTACTACGACCATATTTTGTGAAAGGATCAACCAATGTATTCCTGTATAGGTTTATGCAATTCGTGCGATTCAATCGAGGATCAGCTGACATGATGAAGTGGATGACAAGATTTCAGATTTTACTTCAAAGGCTTATGAGCAGTTGGATGGACATGTTGGAGCCAGTTACACAAGCACATCCTCAGGTACAAGCTCAGATGCAAGCTGATGCAGTGATAAATGGAGTAGCTCCAACGGCAGAAAGAATTCAGGAAATCATGCAGACTATCAATGGCAATTTGAGAACTTTTCATCAGAACGACTTTCCTTTGGGAGAAAATCTCATTGCCTTACTCATGCTGTCACTCGCAGATCTGTCTCAGGACCAGAGGAACACCTTGACTTCTTTGATGACTCATCGTGGTAGGGTCCTGCAGCAATACACCACAACAGAGTTAAGGACAGTTTTCATTGAGATGTTCTGCACGACAAAGACTTCAGTAGACAATCCTTTGATGCAACCGACAGGTGCTGGAGGTAGAAGATCATTTCTCGTGCTTGAAGAAGGAGAACTCGATGGTACTTATGGCTATTGGGCCGAAGACGAAGAAGATGGAGCAGAAGGATTTCTTGATGCCCTGGACGATGTCTTTTGGGTATATGATGAACAGAATTTCTCTTGGTTCCAGAGGAGATTCCAAGGAAGAAGAGCCAGAAAAGGCAAAGGAAAAGGAAGAAGGAAAGGAAAAGGCAAAGGAAGATCAGGCCGCAGATTCTTCAGACCTCGAGGAAAAGGAAAAGGAGGAAAGAGACGAGGCAAAGGCCATTATGCTGATGAGCAACCGTCAACTTATCCAGATGAGTATTATGAAGAGAATCCTTATGAGGACACTTGGGAGTCAAATCAAGTAGCATATGATGCCATTATTGCCGAAGATATGAATGACTATCTTCAAGGAGAACATGAAGATGCCAACGACTTTTGGCAACAGCTTGAAGAAGCATGGTTTTCCCACAAGGGAAAAGGAAAAGGCAAGAGAAAAGGCAAGAAAGGAAAAGGAAAAGATAAAGGAGATGGCAAACAAGATGCAAACTATGCAAATCAACAACAGCCACGCTCTTTGCCTGCACCTTCAAGATCTTCACAAGCATCAGGAAGTCACCAAGGTTTCTTTGCACATTGTGTGACAACAGCAGCTGAAGTCCATGACAGTGAGGTGAACTTGCTGTCAGGCATGATGACCTCATGTCAAGATGAAGCTGACTGTAAGGTCAACAATGGTGAGACGATCTTCGATGGCATGAGTGCCCCTGTGAGGTACTCTTTGTCAAAGGAGATGCTCGCAAGTGCTCCTGATGGCTTTGCGCTTATGAGCGCTGAGGAAGAGGTGAATGAGATGCAGGCTATTTCATTTTTGACTGAGAATCGCTTCCCGCCAACTATTGCAATCCTGGACATTGGATGCACTAGAGCTATGGGATCAAGGCGCGCAGTCGATTATTTTTGCAACTATGTCGACAGTCACCCAAATTGTGGCCTATGGTACTCTTTTGAGGCTACCAAGAGCAAGTTTTACTTTGCCAATTCTCAGAAGGCTTCTTGCTCTCAGAACCTGGTGATTTACATGTATGATCGCACATGGGCGATCCACAATACAGAGTTCGACATAGTGGAAGAAGGAGAAGTCCCTTTGTTTATGAGCTTGCCACAGATGAGAAACTTAGGCTTTGAACTCAGGCTGACACCTCAACATGCTTATCTGACATCGGTGCCTCTTGGTATCAAACATTTAGAGTTGAAGGTTGCAGCCAGTACTCATCTTGTTTTGGACTTCCAAGATATTGCATGGTATTTGTCTGACGTGCGTTTACAGACTCAGCGTGAGAAGAGTTTTTACTCTCACTTCACTCACTATGAATATGGCCATTTTTCTGTTGGTCACAATAGTGATGAAGATGAAGCTGAGCATGCATATCCTGTGGTTGACTACTGGGAAGTAGATGTTCACAAGAGAGAACTGATACGTCACCACAAGGATTACAGGAAGATTCTTTTCCGAGCAACTAAGTCCTGTCCTGTAGACACTGACTTGCTGGAAGACTTGCGACTGACAATCATCAAGAAAAAGGAAGGAGGAGAAGAAATCAAGAAGCTAGATGATTGGCGCAAGGCAAAATGGAAGGACCTACAAATTGGCTATGAATGGCGTGGTAGAACAATTTTTAAGTTCAAGCCAGATGCCAAAATTCCAGATCTAAAGATCAAGAAGGCTGGCATTGAGCACCGTGGCATTGGTGATCCCGATGCAGTGGTGCGCTCCTCCTCAGAGAAGGTTCCCACTGCAAAGGACAGGGAACCAGGCTTCTCTTCAGAGAAGGAAGGTGCACCATCCAGTGCCGCGGAAAAGCCTGTGCCGCCAAAGTTTCGTTATACATCCAAGGGTTTTGATCCATTTTGGAAGGGACACAAGTCGAAACCATCTGAGCCTCCAAATGATTTAAGGGGTGATGATCCTGAAGGGTATACTCCTTCAGAACCACCTGAGAGGCCAGAAGGTGAACTTGTAGAAATTCCTAAAGCATCAAAAGGACCATCAAGTGATAAACATGAACCACTTGAACCAGGTGATGGCGCTCTTGAGCCTAGGCGGATTTCAATCCCATTACCTGGTAGTGAAGTTGTTGCAATGACACCGGCATATAGGAAGATGTTGCAGAGACTGGAGGACCAGGTAGAGCTTTATAAGCTTCATGCGAAGCACTACCATATGAGTCCTACTCAGTTTCGTAGGCGTGTTTCTATGTTGAAGCTTCCTGACTCTGTTTTAGAGAAGTATGAATCAGTTGTCAGGAACTGCCGTGTTTGTAACACTTCAGTGGCACCTCCGCCACGAGCCAGAGTCTCCGGTATTAGAGCTTCATGTTTTGGTGATGTTGTTTTTGCTGATCACTGTGAGGTTGAACTTCACAAGAACAAGTATATCATTCTACTTGTTCTTGATGGTGCCACAAATCTTCTCTGGGCTACGGCACAGAAAGACCTCATAGATCAAACCACCATCCAAGCATTGAGGCAATGGTCTGATGAGAACAACTGTGTTCCGAAGGCCATCGTAGGAGACGAAGCCTTTTTCACAGATGCTTTTGTTGAATACTACAGGTTCCATGGTATACAACAATGTTTTTGTGGACCAAGAACTCCTTGGCCGAACCGAGCAGAGACAGCGGTACGTTTGTTCAAACGTATGTGGCGTGTGATGAAAGTAGATCTGGATGACCCACGTTTTCGTGGTGTTACGGTCAGAGAAGTGGTCAAGAAGGTAGTTTGGGCAAGAAATTGTCAGTTGACTATCAGCGGATATTCACCAATAGAGATAGCAACTGGAAGACGTCCACCAGATCTTTTTGACCTTGAGACCGCAAGCCCTGAGCAATTGTCAGCAAATGCAGCCGCACAAGATCGTACAAATCTGGAACTACAACGTGTGGCTTTGAGAGCTCATCAAGAAGCACGACAAGCTCAGGACCTTCGAGCAGATCTTGCAAGAAGGACTATGCCAAGTGACGGTCCCTATTTCCAAGGAGAGAAGGTTTTTATTTGGACTCAGGATTCATCAAAGTTCAAGGATAAAGGACGTTGGGTTCGTGCCACAGTACTTGGACAAGAAGGAGCGATGGTCCAAGCCAACACTGGTAAGGCAGTGGTACGTGTGAATCAGTCGAAGGTTAGACGTGATCACGATGAGTGGCATGATGTTTCCATACCAGCATTAGACGATGAGAATCCGGAGAACTTACGTGAAGATCACGAACTGTATGTTGATGCGGAATTTGGAGAACAGTCCTTTTTCTTTTGTAATGATGATCATCCTGATGTTGTTGTTGAGTTACTTCATGGAAACAGTGGATTATCTTGGTTCCT